CTATGGTCCCCTATTATGGGGAGCTAGTAATGCAGTGAGCAGATCACAGTGGCCTCGCAGCCTAAGGCAGGAACCATCTTCGCCCTCTCGAACATTGAGATCGTGGGTTCGAATACCACTCAAGGCATGGATGTCTGTGTGTGTATATTCTGCGTTTGTGTTTTCTGTGTGTAGGCAGCGGCCTTGCGACGGGCTGATCCCCGTCCATGGAGACCTACAGATTGTCTCTAGATTAAGAAACTTAATAAGCAACCAAGTTCCACAAGGGCTGTAGAGCCATGGATAGATAGATAGATAGATAGATAGATAGATAGATAGATAGATAGATAGATAGATAGATAGATAGATAGATAGATAGATAGATAGATAGATAGATAGATAGATAGATAGATAGATAGATAGATAGATAGATAGATAGATAGATAGATAGATAGATAGATAGATAGATAGATAGATAGATAGATAGATAGATAGATAGATAGATAGATAGATAGATAGATAGATAGATAGATAGATAGATAGATAGATAGATAGATAGATAGATAGATAGATAGATAGATAGATAGATAGATAGATAGATAGATAGATAGATAGATAGATAGATAGATAGATAGATAGATAGATAGATAGATAGATAGATAGATAGATAGATAGATAGATAGATAGATAGATAGATAGATAGACAGAGAGTAATGCAGCAAATAGCACAAGTATTTTTAATTAAGAATTTGCTGGATACGTTAAGTGACTAACTGCTTAAATCGACGAATTGATTGATAAAATATATTATTAAAATGTGAAATATTTAGGCTACTTACGCTATATAGGACCTGATATGTGAACTGAATGACTGGTGATTAACTAATTAGGAAAAATTATTCCTTCCGTAGAGTCTCAGTACGGAATGACGTTATTCCTTGTTGTTATGAAATCGTCGTCCTTAACATAAATGTCTACCACTTCAGCGTTATATTAGGATCGGTTTCAACTGGCTGACATTATGACAGTTTAGTGTTGGATTCATACACTTTTATATAGGCAACTCTTTTATAAAAGCGCTCTGTCTGCTGCTGATGTCATATACAAGATTGAGACATTACTATCTATTTCTGTAATTACTACACAAATGTGACTAGAAGAGGCCACGTGGAAGACTACACGGTGGGGAGAAATTAATATTAATTTACATCTGAGACAAATAGGGCATAGGAAGTGGACTTGATTCAAATAACTCAAAATGGGGCCCATTCGCAGCAGCCTTTGAACACGGTAATAAAACTTGGACCATCGGACGGAATTAAAGACGGTGAACTTTTTGACCAGCTGCGTTGTTCTTAGCCTCAAATGAAATAAGCGCATTCAAGGGGGTAGTCAATATGTCCGTTTCAGCTGTTAAAGTTATATTTCTCGCTGCTTGAATTTTAGTAGAATATTTATTGCTCTTGACCCCTGCCTAAAGTCGTATTCTAAAAACTTGGCACGGTATAGCGACTAGCTACGGGCTGGACTGTTGAGGGGTCGGAGTTCGAGTCCCGGTTGGGTCAAGAATTCTCTCTTCTTTACGTCGTCCAGACAGACTCTGGGGCCCACCGAGCACCCCATCCAATGGCTACTGGGGTTTTTTTACCGGAGGTAAAGCGGCCGAGGCCGGTCATGGTAGCCGAGCGGTCTAAGGCATGTACTGTCTTCAGTCTCTCGGAAACCGGGATGGTGGGTTCGAATCCCACTCAGGGCATGGATGTTTAGTTTGTGTGTGGGCATTTTTCTGTGTTTGTATACAGGTAGCGGCCTTGCGAAGAGCTGATCACCCACCAAAGGAGTCCTACCGAATGTGTAAGCTCTAGAAAAACCGAAGTGAACGGAGAAGTTCATGGAGGTAGGCCTAGGCCCGCTGGGGCTGTAGTGCCAAGGAAAAAGAAAGCGGCCGAGGCGTGAAGCTGACCGCCCACCTCCAACTAGTGCTTAATTAATTGGGGACAGGGACAACTTCACATTTGTAGGTACGGCAATATCCCATGACTTGCAGAAGCAGACAAATGCTGCCTAAAAGTCCCACGAGACAGGGTCCGCCACAGCTGTGCATGAGTGGAGCAGAAGAGAGAGAGAGCAGGACAGGGTCCTGGTGCTAATGCTGGGTCATATAACATGAGACACTCTTATGAAATTGGCTGACCAGCAGCGGGTCCCGCCTGCCCGGGCGCATGATATATGCCAGCTGGGGATGGGGTACAGACAGCCTTAAATACTTTGCCACCTACATCATGCGTTGTTTCATGAGCAGCGAGTCAGCCAAGCCAGTTAACGCCTGGGAGACAGCCCAACCTCAGCGCGTGGCACAAATATTTTCACAGTCTACTCTTCTTTAGCATCCTTTGTTTGCTAAACAATAAAGGGTTATTTGAAACTGTCTTCAGCTAGAATCAAGAACGCAGAATTAACTAACTCCATGGAACATGGAAATTCTTCAAAAGCTAACAATCAGTCAATGTGTCAAGAAACCCCATCCTATTACAGATTCATTGCCATGTTCACAACTCTCGACAGTAGACCCTCTCCTGAGCCAGAGCAATCCTGCCCTTTGAGACCCCCTTTTAATATTATCCTCTCCTTTATGTCCAGGTCTCCAAAGTTTGACTAAAATTGTGTCCTACTATCTTGCGCTGTATACTCCGTCCGTTCGGACTTTCTTAAAGAGATAAGTTAGGATTCTTTGCAGAGAAAAGTTCCCGGTGTGTATATAAATATGTACATATTATTCACTATAAAATTATTGATTGACCTATAATATTTTGTTTAATTAAAATATAGTATTTACGGCAAACCGAGCAGAGACGTATGAATATAGCTGACCGGAACCGGTCATACTGCCTTTTGATATGAACAGGTTTGTCCACCTATCATCTTATCTCTCTTTTCCTTCCTTTAAACAGCTGGCTCAGATAATGAAGGAGTTTCATGAGCTTAGCGATGAACCTTCGAAATATATATATTATTTATTATACTGCAATTGGGTTTTAGCCCGGTGGCAGCAGTACACAATAGGACACAACAGACAAGTAACACACATTACACTAAGTGACAATACGTTCAAACAAAACACAATACACAAAACACAACACACAAAACACAACAATAAGGACATCCTACCACAGTGAATACAAACCAAATACGATTAACAACTACAACAATTACAGAGAAATACAAACAACTGCAACAAATACAACAACAATTACAGAGAGAAAGAAAAAAAAAGAATTATCTTGACCGGGTGAATAAAACTATCGAAATTTCGGGAGAATTCTGTCCTTACATCAACTGATTCTTGAGTCATTTGACGACACTAATTCAGATTTACTCCTGATATATCTTAACATCGCATAATAGAATTGGTGTGAATAACTAATTTTAAATTCAGAGAAGAGGAACAGCTGTTATTCATTTTTTAGTCTTATCTAGTCACCTAAGCACTTCTCTGGAGGAGTGAGGAAAGCAGAGGGAAGTCGGTCTCCGGGTGAACAATCGAAATGAGGGCATCCCAACTACAGAAGAAGAGTATAGAAAATGGATCCTATGGCCAGCAAGATCTTCGGCATGACAATTCATTAAATGAAGAATGCCGTCTTCTGGCATGTGACGCAGTCCACGTTTTGTATAAACCGACGTTTCGGAGGCAACATTCGCCTCCATATTCAGGACATAAGTATCCGTGGGCTAGAAACAAGCGATAGCAGGTGTCTGCAGTCTGCTGTCAGCTGCTCACGCAGATTCCTAGCCCGCGGATTTTAGGTCCTGAAGATGGAGTGATACATTCCTCCGAAACATCGGTTGATAGAACACCTACGCGGCGTCACATCCCACAAGACGAAATTCTCCATAGTTACTGCCGGTAACATCTCACATCTTACAAATTCATTAATTGTTGCTTTGAATTATGTGCCATCTAAGTATGACCGAGTAATAGGGGCGAAACCTGTAATAGATTAGTATAAAACGCATCAGTGCTCGATACCAAGTGTGTTGATGGTCTTGTGTGCAATTTCTTGCAGTATAAACACAGGAGGATGCGAAAACAAAAGCTGTAGCAATACGTTAGTTAGTTGGTGCATAATCGTCTTTTTTTTCCACTTATTCTATATATACTCATAGCCTTATTGGGCCCTGGCCTCTGAATTCTCAGTTTCATGATCATTTTACAGACATTAGGTCTCCTTGGACTCGAGATCAGTCCGTCGCAAGGCCTCTACCTAAACACAGGACAACACAAACACAGAATAAACACATATCAAACATCCATGCTTTGTGTGGGATTCGAACCCACGCTCCCGGCTTCCAAGCGAGGGAAAACAGTGCATGCCTTAGACCGATCTGCTACCGTGACCCGTTTAATCATCTTTATCTCCATAGAACTCGGGGAAGAAATAGAGCCCTGGGTATATTTATTTATTCATTCTAATTGTACGTAAGATCTTTAATCACCTTTCAATGTGCTTGATTAAACAACTGGACGGTGGTTAGAATCTGATATACGATTTCTATTGTGACGGATCAGGATTTTACTCACCGCACTGAGAAATGCGGGCGATGGTTGCGAAAGACAGGCTGAGATGTGAGCCCGACCAATAGGAATGCAAGGCTTCTCTTTTGTTCTTTTCGTTACAAGCATAAATCTCTATCAGCCTCCTGGTGTCTGTGCCAAAGGTTCAAACCAAACGGTATATCATGCGAAAAACAAATTAACAGCTTTAAGGAGTAAGTGGATGTGAAGGGGGGGGGAGGTGGACTTTGAGTCAAATTCCTTCGTGTTTTCTTTTCCGCATTACGCTGAAAAGAAGTCTTTGATATTGAAACTACAGGAGGCCACTGTACAGCGCGACTACTCAGCTCTCCCTTCCCTTGTGTAGTTCTGTCTAAGGCGAGTGGGCGGGTGTTTCTGTGTTATGTAGTTTCTCCCTATTGATTACGGTGTGCATGTTAATGTGAAGCAGACAGAGTCCCGCCGGTAGTGACAGCCCCTGCGCCTCAGTCAGTCAGTCAGTATGCTCGCCTGCCGGCTGGCCGGGCACCCGCGTGCTTGCGAGAAGCGTCGACGCCACACCGCAGACGCCATCCCGCCGCCTTCAGCAACAGCGCCAGAGCACCTGATCGTGAGTGAGGTAAGTAATTGTGTTTCGTGTGTGGACTGCATGCACTTGTGTTTCTAAGTACTGCTGCGCTCCTGTGTTTTAATACTTGAAGATGCATTCTGCGCCGGTTAACAAACCAACCAACAACGTCGCCACGCAGGCAGCAGCCAATAGCGTTATAGAATATGATATGGACTGCCTACGTCATAGGATACACCGATATAAGCGGCACTAGCGGGCAGAACGGTGAACTAACGCGAAGATGATGTTTGTTAGCGTAGGGTATGAAGGATGCCGATAGCCGTCTATATTCTGGGTACAAGAAGTATAAACGGCCACAGTATTGATCCGTTTGCAGGGGTTGCACGCAGCCACGAGAGGGGGGGGGGGTTACGTGGATATTGAAGTGGCGCGGGGATGGGAGAATATGAGACTCGTGTTCTTTACAAGCATCAGCCAATACGGAACAGTTATGATATGATATGGAGTGTGGAGGGGCCGGGAAGCTTGCCATACACGGAGTAAAGAAAGCTGGGACCAATAACAGCCTCGTTATGATATTGATATGACACCGCTTGTTATGATTGGTGCGTAAGGTGGACGAACTGAAGTGAGATATTTTATGCTGTATGGAGAACTGCGTGTAAACGTGTAAAGAAAGAGTAAAATGGTGTGGGTTTTCTGTGAGTTGGGCTGCCGGATGTGTAGCCTGTGGTTCTTTACATTACGAAATTTCCGTTTATATTCTTTCGTAGCAGATTCAGGTCTGCGGGACTGTTAGGCAGAACAGATATTGGTCTGAATGATACATAAATATGTTTTGAATTTTGTGTGATTAAACACGTTTCACGTATTTTGGAGCACATAAAAGTTTAGTACACTGAAGTAATTATTGGAAAATTCAGTAAAATTCTATTTTAGTTTCGTATTTGACCGATATGAACCTACAACTTGTAGAGTAAATTAAATTCTATTAAATTTTAGTATTGGATATCAAATTTAATTAAAATTCATTGAGTAATTTCAGACATGAAATATATCGACGGGCTGACAGGCAGTATTTGCTTACATGGGTTTATTTTGTGTAGACTAAAGAGGAGTCTCCATACAGCCACAAAAATATCGGCCAAATGGTCAGTCAGGGAAGTCTCTTGTTTGATTTCACTGACAAGGCCTCTGCTTGCTGCTGTTTCTAGACCGACTCTTGAGCTGTTTAACATCGTTCATTTTGGAGGTTATAAGTTACAAAATTTCATGGCATGCAATAATAACAGCAAACGACAATAAACTCCTATTTTTAAATCGATGCTCGTGACCCATTTGAAGGTATCATCCTTATAATCGTTTGGAGACCACCCGGATGCAATTAGGGCTATAAAGCATTGCCACTATATCAACTTGTTCTGTTTGCGGACAATGGGAAAATGAATTTGAGTAAAATTTTGTGTTGCAGAATGCAAAAGAGAATTCTATAGGCGCTATAAGATTCTCATAATAGGCCTACTTGTAAAGTTATTGATATGTTATAAATTTTCATGTTCGTTTAATAATAATGTTAGGATAATGACTGAAAGTTTTTAATATTTTATAGGTTCTTGTAGGACATTCGAATCGATTTTCAACTTAAAACAGCTTTATGTGTTGTTACGGATATAAATAAATCAAACTTAACAGAAAGATCTATACATAGTGTGACATGTTGCGCAACGGATTTCTACGAGGTTTCTACGAGCCTAAAAGTTTCCACATTTCTTCATTATATGACCATGTAGAAGGTTCAGTTTTTGTAGTAACAAAGAGGACCGCCAGGCTGAGTAGAAGCTACATTGACACCTTAAAAAATAAAATAATTTCGAAATTTTCAGGACTGATAATGAAGATTTCTACGCATATCTAGAGTAATTTTGTTTTAGTTATGAACCATTTCCGGAAAGAAGAAAATAATCTGAAAGGTATTTTAAGAAATTCTGCCACTACTTTGATTCGCGGACAATCAGGATCTCCAGAAGTAAATACAAAATAACCCCTCCCCCCATTTCTCCCTTTCCTTCAGGACCACGAACATCACGCGGAGACATACTACGAAATAACACCAGATGCTTACGTCTGTATTCAGTATAAGGCAATTTATACAAACTGAAGAATATTGTACCCCTTCCCCTGGGACAGTGTGTCAGTGATCATCTGAAAAACGCCCCTTCGAAAGCGAAAATTCCCGAAAGTTTCTGTTTCTTTCCATTAAGTTCAGAAGATTGAAAGGGGTACTAAATTTTGGAGAACACAAACTTTAGATTTTAAAATTAGAAAAGGAAACACATTTGTAAGATTTGAGGTTTTCATGGCGGTAACTATGAAGAAAGCAGTTTTCTGGGATGTGGCACCGTGTAGATGTGGTGTTAAACGACGTTTCAGAAGAACGTATGTTATTTTTCCTTCTACCCTGAAGATGGAGGTGATACATTCCTCTGAAACGTCGGTTAACACCACATCAACACGGTTTCCATTCAGTCCAGAATCTTTTGTCTCTTCGTCTGCTGTNGAGAGGAGAAATGCATATAGGATATTGGTGGGAAAGCCGGAAGGAAGGAGACCAATGGGAAGACCAAGGCGTAGGTGGGTGGATAATATTAAAATGGATCTCAGAGTGATAAGATGGGATGGTATGGATTGGATTGATGTGGTCCATGATAAGGATCGTTGGAGGGCTCTTGTGAACACGGTAATGAACCTTCGGGTTCCATACAATTTGGGGAATTTCTTGAGTAGCTGCACAACTGGCGGCTTCTCAAGAAGGGCTCAGCTCCATGAACGAGTTCAGTGTTCAGAGTACAGTGAGTAACGTTACGTCTGTAGAACGCCCTTCCTCTTGGTTTCCTTTGTTATATCTGCTCTTCACGTAGGCCCCATCATTTCACCAAACTTTTCCTTTTATAAAGGCCCATCACGGAACTAAGATTTATAGGAAAACTTGGGTGTGGTATTTTAATAGGGACCCATGGGCGCGTGCTAGCTATAAAATACTTCTCAGATTAGAATCCAAACTCACTAATTCCAAAACCTGCAGTAAATTTAAAGTCGGAATGGTTTATAAAACCGATGTTATCAAAATCAATTCTCTGGTTTGCTTACGGATGCATGAGAGACCCAGGTTCCTCCTTCAGTTCTTACACAAACACTCTGCAGGTATAGAGGGCCTCAGCCAGTAGCTGTAAGAGCAGTGTAGCTCTGCTGCTGTGATATCAAAGATACGTTTTGTTACAGTAACTGCAGATCAGTGTTATGAAATATATTTTCGGTGTCCGCAAAACGCTGAGCCTTGTCTCGTCGGTATTTGCTGCAGAACCACAATGCAACGCGCAATCCATTCCTTGATCTTTTACTGTCAAAAATTGAACAAGTATTATTTCCTGTCTCTCAGAAAATATCTGATAAATTCTAATTACATAAAGAAGAAGAAATGAAATGAAATGAAAAGGACAGAGCTAAAATAGTAGGAGGAAAGAACGAGGGAAAATTAAAGAGAGGAAAAAGGCTGAAAGGAGGAAGGACAACTGAAGAAGTAAGGGAAATATTGGAAGGAAGACTGAAAAACAAAGATATAGAAGGAGGAAATAAAGAAATATGACAAGAACAAGATAGCCAAATGGAAGGAATCCATGGAACTGACCCCTCCATGAGAAGCCTCCAGTTGTGCAGCTATTCAAGTATTTCCCAATATTTTACGGAGCTGGAAACTTCATTACCGTCTTCACAAGAGCCCTCCACCAGTCCCTATCCTGAGCCAGATCAATCAAGTCCATACCCTCCCATCCTATCTCTCCAAGATAAATTCTAATATTGTCCACCCACCTACGTCTTGGTCTTCATAGTGGTCTTTTTCCTTCTAGCTTTCTTAACAATATCCTTCATGCATTCCTCTGCTCTTCATTTGTGCTACATGCCCTGTCCATCTCATCCTCCCTGACTTCATCATTCTAATTATACTTGGAGACGAATACAAGTTATGAAGCTCCTCATTATGCAGTTTTCTCCCACCTCCTGTCACTTCATCTCTCTTCAGGCCAAATATTGTCCTCAACACCCTGTTCTCGAACTCCCTCAGTCTATGTTCTTACCTTAATGTCAGAGACCAAGTTTCACACAAGTACAGAACTACGGGTAAAATTATAGGTTTTTATATTCTAATATTTACGTTTTTCAGAGAGCAGACGAGAAGACGAAAGGTTTTGGACTGAAAGGTAGCAAGCATTACCCCAGTTGAATCGCATTTTAATTTCCTCCTGAATCAAAATTTGATTTCTTACTGTAGTACCCAATTATTTGAACTGTGCCACGTTTTCGGAGGATCTACTATTAGCTATCTTTATGTCAAGATTTTGTCCTGCATTCTGGTGACGAGACAGCAACATGTAGCTACTTCAGTTCCTTTGTGTTTGCTGCTGGACCAACCTCCTTACTTGCGCCAGTTAAAGCTTCTGTGTTTTTCTCTATGGTATCTATATTATCTTCCAATTGATTCACATGAGAGAAAATTAAAGGAAATAAAAAGGACTGAAAGGAAGAAGGACAACTAAAGAAGTAGGAGAACGATTGCAAAGAAGCCCAAAAAAGAGATGACAAAAAATAAGGAAGTAAAGAAACATGACAGATATAAGATAACAAAAAGGAATGAATGAGGACAAAATTAAGCGGGAAAAAGACTTAAAGGATGATACAAATAAAGAAGGAAGACAGAAGAAGAAAAAACAAAAAGGATGTAAAGAAACACAGAGATAGACAGGAGGAAAAATAATTAACGAATGAAGGGACACGGAAGAAACTACAAGTATAATAGCCAGACAAATAATTGCGACTTTTGCGGGACCAGAATGTTCATTCGACAAGGTCACCCACACTAGATATATCAAAGTTAAGGGACCAAATGAAAGGTCCTCAGATTTGTGAGGTTAGGAAGTTAAGGACTAGGGAGTTAGGAGTGAGGCTACTAACCTCACCTCAGAGTAGCGTGTATATTGAGAAACCTAACAATT